GCAGATAGGAGTATGTGTTCATGTACTGTTATTATGTGTGATATCCAGTTGATTTCCAAGTCTGGAATGTATGAATCCTAAGGATTCTTCCAGGTGTTAGCAGGCTGAAGATGGGTTAAAATGCCAGCATTTTGGAAATCTGCCTTCGCAGTTTGTTTTTATTTTCTTTTAGAGCTGTTCTGTGTTTTGATCTCATGTTCTAGTACAGAAAGATTTGTAGCCTTCTGTGGGAAAGACCAGTGTCTAAAACACTGTAGACTTCTGTCCCTTGCATGGGGGTAGCTTTCACTTTGGTTGTGCTGTGGTAGAGATGGTGAAATCCACAGTCAACTAACTGGTGCAAGAACGTGCAGAGCTACCTCCCTGTGAGACCCAACAATGATGTTTTCAACAGAGTCCCCTCAGCTGCTACTTCAGGTCATGTGAAAGGTAGGCTAATTTTATTTAGGAGTTTATGAAGGAGGCTGATTTCTGTAAGTTTTTTGGGTTGTTTTTAAAAGAACTCAGTGTACAAAATGGATGTTTGTCTCCATAACAGCTCCTCATTTTCTACACTTGCATCACTGAAGTTTCACTCTGTGATTGTCAAAGCACTGAATTACTGATCATGCAGGTTGATAGAGGAGTTCACTGTATGGAGTTAAAAATGAGAGTTGTTAATTAGAGCACAATATCAGATTACTCAACTAATTGAGAAGATCTGGGAGCAAGTGGAGCAATTGCAGAATGGGCCATGAGGGAATGCATGGCGATTCCTCCTTTTTTTTTTTTTTTGAGCAAGTTAAGAGTGAAACTGAAACTTAAATGAACATTAATATGATCAGCACTTGGGAGAGAGCATGTATGAACAAAGTGTCTCCTCATTAAGTGCCATGCTCATTGTTTTTACTGGAATTACCATGTGTAATGCACAGACTGACAACCCACACTGTCTAATCTGCCATATGATGGAGATGGTTGAATGGTATGTAGTGGTGGAGTTGCTGCATCCTTATAGGACAGTATTAATTAGACTGTATTATACATGATTTCCTATTATGTGAGCTCAATTTCAAGACATAACAGAGGAATTTTTCCAAAGAAAAGCAAATGTTGAGAGGGTGTTTATCTTTAAAAGGAATTGTGAAGCAATCCCAGGAGCCTCTTTTAACTGGAGAAAACGTGGCCAGTAAATACTGCGTCAAACCTCATTGCTCAGAACAGGGCTGTAGTTGGTCCAGTAGGTTTCTCTAGTCAACTCTTCACCTCAGCAGAGCTCAGTGAGGGCAAGATGAAATGCTGTACGTGGGGGTGATAGACTGGACGGTTACTCACCCCTCTTCTGCATTCCAGCTGCTTCTGAGCAAGCTCCTGAACTCAGCTTGCTGGGCTCCTTTACGGCACAGCAAATACACCTTTATTTATTTTTTTTTCCCCACGGTTACGCTGGTGGCAGTCAAGCTTTCCTTCCAAAGGCAGGAAAAGGTGATGTATAAGAGTCTGGCCTCTGTCACACAGTCATAGATGCAGGTAGCAGAGCCAGCACTGCCGTGTAGGTGTGCTCATAGCTCCCTGCCTGCTGGGTCTGAGATGCGTGTGAAAGGGAGGCTGCTGCTTGAGCCTCCGCTGTGTGAGGAATTCTAAGTAGCCTGCTCTTTTCCCCAGGCACTCAGACCTGTGCAAGAAATGGGCCGTAGTCCAGGAGAACTGTTCAGACAGAAACATCCTGCTCCCAGTTGCCCTGTGTCCCAGAGGGCTCTCTGTGCCTCTTCTGTCATGGATGCAACTGCTGGGGAACGGACACTGGGAAACATGGTGGCCTCAAGGCTGAGCATCTCCAGTTGCAGTTTACCTGCTTGAGACAAAGACACGCTTTCTCCAGAGTCCTTCAGGAATAGCGGCAGTTCTTGGGTTTTGGGGAAAAAAAGATTGTCCTTTGTTTCTGGTACAATCCCAAAGGTCCTCTCAGAGGAGGGGCAGGATCACCAAGATACCCAGTGGTTAATGCTTTCAGTGCAAGGCACATCACTGCTGATCATCACCTTTCCCTCCATGCACCTTTGTGTTCTTTCTTGGTCTTTTTAAACAATTAAAACAAAAGAAACCTCAAAAAAATCTGTACAGTTTGAACACAGTGATAATTAAGCAGTAATCACATGTGATATGCTTTACCATTTTTAACTAAGCCCTGTGGGAGGAGGTTTCTCCTTTAACAGATAAAAATGATTTTTTTCTTAAGGAAATGTACTAGAATGCTGAAGGTTCGTTTTGGAAAGGCAGATGTCCAGTACCTTGGTATTAATAAACAATTATTAGCAAAAAGATACACAATTTGGATGTTGTCTTGATTTCCTTAAGTGGGGGGAGAGGGGAATGTAGTTTCTTCTGCCAAATCAGTCTTGGTTTTCCTTGCAAGAAGTTTTTTTACTAAAAATAAGAAAATTTGCTATTTTGGTTTTATGCTGTTAATGTAATTCCTGTTTCTATAAGGACTGTGGCAGGCAATGCGTGTATTTGTGGCTTCCCCTTTTTCTTAGAAATTCATTTCTGTAACGCTGCATGCTGCAATACAGCTGTGCTTGGTAAAACACGTGCCTTGAGGTGCGTGGCTGTGCCAGGTCTCTACACTGGCTGTACTTAGCTTTCTTCCTACTTGTTTGAATGTAACTATCAAACTACATGCCAGCTTTTACGTGAATAAAAGTGTGGAGGTTTCAACTGATAATGATATATTCCAACCAGCAATGCAACTTATTAAGAAGGTGTATCTATTCTGCTATTATTGTACTAAATTTCTTGCTCAGGCTGTTCTGCCTGACAGACCAGCCCATGCAAATAAGAGGGTGCAATATCCAAGTATATTTGTTAAAGTGCCGTGGAGTTTGTGTTCCAACACTTAAAACAGGAACAATATTTGGTGAAATATTTAATAGTGGGGGAAATGAAATGCTTCAGTCTTAATGCCTGATGCATCGCATCTGTGTGTGTTTGGAGATACCAGTGTTTACCATGGGAAGCTGGGATCAAACCTGATCTTTTTTGCACTCCGTCTCAAAGCAAATGAGCAAGTGGTTTTGTGGGGCAAAAAGATGGAATGCTCCAGCTCTGTGGGATTTACTGAATTCTTAATAAACTTGAGGAAGCGAGGAGATGCTGGCTTTGCAGTTAGTTTGTGGTTTTAAATAAACACATAAACTTCTGACAAGCTGTTGTTGCTATAAGGATTTTTGGCATTGCATGTTTCTCTTATCCAGCTGGAAAACAGAACAAAACTCAGTTGTTAATGAGGCAATGTTAATGCATTCATCTTTGCATCCCTTCAGAATTAACAAATCAACATGAAGCCCCTTAAAAGTGTAAATTAATCTGCAGGGCAGTAAACCCAAGCATCATCATAGCTGGTGCATTGCAGCTCTGCCTTTAGGAGATGCAGCTTATTTAACCAAGACATGATGTTACTTTGCATCTGAAGAATCCATAGCAAATCAAAATTTAATCCAGGCTCTCAGCTTGTTCTGAAGCGATTTTTTTTTTTTTAAATATTTATTTATTTATTTGCATCGTGGCAGTCTCCCATGACAGTCAGTGGTAGTTCTTGTCCTAATGATGTCATCGTTCAGTCTCCCCCCCCCCTGCCAGGGGAGATGCACAGGCTCTCGTTATTCACTGGCAACTGCCTCTGCTTGCCTTTTCTGCGGAAGGCAGGCTGCATTTCCTCGTCTGCTGCGCATTGGCTTTGTTTGGTTTGCCAGGATTTTAAATATATTGTGTGCATATGAATGTCCCTCTGATTATATAGGGAAGATGAAGACTGCTGTGACTGCCAGGGGAACCGAACAGTTTGTTCACCAAGAATGTGACACGTTTGACTTTGGTAGCATATTTATAAACATGCTGTATTTTAACTGGGTGATCTCATTGCCTCTGTCGAAGAGAGGTTATAAGGACATGCTGAAGTCTTCATGTGTAGTGAAAAGCATGGTCTTGGTAGCTCACGGAAAAAAATACGTTTATCGCTGACATAGAACTGTTGAACTAGAGCCATTTGTGAAGAGATGAGGGGAGTACTATACTCGATGCAGAAACGCTAAACTAAATGGGGCTACATTAATTTTGGATTAAATAGAATTTTTTAAACACAGTTTAAAGGGAAAAAAATTAAAAATATTTCTGAAGAGCTAAAACCGAACAAAAATCTCAGTGTTGCACTCGAGCATCTGAAACATCAGTAGGTGTGTCTGAATCGGATACACTAGCAGTTGAACAATGTTTTGAATAACAAACTTCGCTGGTCATGGTAACAGCTGTAATGGAATATATTTGTACGGTGTGTACAAATCTGTGCTAAACGAATATTGTTAAAGTGGGGAAGGACACAGTTAAGGTTCCCCCCCAAGTAATCTTAGCTCAGCCTTGGGCACACAACACGAGTATTTTTCCCCCTAAGGATTCCTTATCTTCTGTAATAGCCGTGCTGGGGATTGAAGAGGCAGTTTTTGTGTGCCACACAAACCAAAAGTGTCAGTGTATTCTGTCAGCGATTTCACAGTGAGAAGGCAAAAATGGACGAGTCTTAAGTACATAAGCGAGGGCCTAAGAAACACAAGTGTGAAGCACCGTTTCCTTCCCTTGTTCGTGTCTCGGCATAGATACATGTATATGTGCCACACATGGAGGGGAAATGCCTTCCCTATTTCTTCACTGGCACCACCTCACCCCCATGGAAATCCATTCCTGAGCCATTTTGCCTTCAGAGTCATGCGCAGTTTGCTGTATGGGTACAATAAACATAAAAGTCTATAAAATAACTGATGTGCCTTTCGATAAGTGTGCAGCAACATGGACCACTCAAGCTGAGCTGGTGTATTACAGGTAAAGCAGCCAAAAAAATATCATAATTAAATTCAGATCAAGTTTCAGAAATAGAGAGACTTTGGGATTTGCATGGTTATAGAGGGTGGGGAGAGAAGAAAGCTTTTTTTAAAAAGAAAAGTTAATGTTGGTGCCTGTCTATCTTTTAGGTACATACGTTCTGACAACTGCCCTGCTACCCCTCCTGGAAAAAGAAGCTGATGCCAGAGTGGTGAGTGTGATGCTGTTGAAAAGTAGTCGTTTACTGTTCTTACCTTTGGGTTCGTGACAGCATTTCTTTGACTGTGTTGGAAATGCAGGATTAGTTATAATGCAGTAAGCATCTCTAGAATCCTCTTGGATTTTGCTAACAGCCACCTCCTTCTCCAAGGCAAAGCTTATGCCTGCTACTCTCAACCCTTTGTTGGAAATCAGAGTAAAACAATTCCTTTGGAAACTTTCCCTGGGGCAAGTTATCTCACCTGTAACAGGAGTATAGGCTTAAAAGAACCTTACAGATCTTGGTGTAAAGTAGGTCAGCAGGTACATTTTTTTTTAAATTAAATTTCCTAAGTTTTGTGCAGTCTCTTGCTTTGTAATTAGCTTCTATAAATGCTAAAGATATGAAATACAAATAGTGCTATTCTGCTATTTTCTTTCTCCTGATTACTTTTCAAAAGGAAGAAGCCCAAAGTTCCCTGAAGGAGTCAACACCACTTTGAATGAAAGTCACTTTCTAAAAAAAATTCTGTTACTTCCACCTCATCTCCAGGTACGCTCTGCACACGAGCACAAGCATAGTGCAAAGAGTTTGGAGAGGAATCCTGCTCCCTAGGGACTTCCAGATGCAGCCTGAAAACCACATTACATGCATGAGTGTCATTGTGGGGAGTTCCTGGTTTTGCTTTTCACTCATTTGCTTTTCACTCATTTGCTTTTCACTCATTTGCTTTTCAGATAACTGTCTCTTCTGGGGGCATGCTAGTTCAAAAATTAAACGTATCTGACTTGCAGTCGGGAAACGGGACATTTGATGGAACTATGGTGTATGCACAAAACAAGGTACAGTCTGTGATTTTGCAAACGAAGCCCAGCATTTCTTTGCTAGGCAGCTTATACCCTCTGCTTTGCAAAAAGCCCGTTGTTCGCTGTTGCTTTCCCATTGCATCCAACCTGTGCAGAGATGCACAAGCAACAGCCTTTAGGAGTACGGTGGCATGCACTTGGGAGCACATACCGTGTTGCACGGAGAGCACGGCTAGACTTGCCTTTGGTTTGATCTGCGTCTCAAGGGGGAAAACTGTCTTTAGCTGACCACCCCTTTCTGCCGGCGCAGTTCTTACCTGCACTCTGCAGCAGGCAGACGTGGTCAGGTAAAGCAGTGTAACCACTTCAAAAGCAGCCTTGTCGCCGGGATGTGGATTGCCATGGCTGTGGTGGTCTCTGACAAAATTATCCAATAAATCCAATCAGGATGAGCAAGGATATGTTTCTCCTACACATAAAGGCCCTCGTTTGATGTAGTTTATCTCCCTGGGAGCAAACTTGGTGGACAGGCTGTTTAACTTGATGCTATTCTGGCTCTTTTTGCTCTATCCTAGAGGCAGCAAGTTGTCTTGACAGAACAATGGGCAAAAGCTCACAGAAACATCCATTTCTCTGTTATGCACCCCGGCTGGGCAGACACTCCAGGTAACATCTGCTTGACGCTCTGACTATTTTTTTTTTTTTTCTTTTCAGGATTAGTCTAAAAGCAAAGAGAAATGAAACTTTCTGGTAGATTTCTCCAACAGGTGCAGTGATTTCTTGGCTCCAAACTGGTGCTTGAAGTAGTTTTGTACCCCCTTGGTAGCTCTGTTCTGCACAGTGTCTGCTCTCTGTGTATATCCAGAGAATAATAATGGGCAATGAATGGCTCCAGCCCCGCGCAAATGCACAGCAGAGCCATAGTGCTTTAAGCCAACCTTCAAGTTACGTTTGTAGTGGGACTGTTAAACACACAGATGGAGCTTCCGCCTCTGTAAGTGCCAACATGCAGACACTGGGAATTTGCGAGGGGGCACGTAGGGAAACGGAGCGTGCACCACTGTGCAAGCCCTGTTCCTCTGCTCTTCCTCCAAACGCTTACTGCTGTCAAGAAGCAGAGTGTTTGGCCAGACAGCCCTTTGTCTGAGCTGCAGCTGTTCTTCAGTGACTGTGTCTCAGCAGGCGGGCCAGCATCAGTTACCCAGTACGCGTGTTGCGTTCCACAGTATGTTACCAGCCCCTAACACCCAAGCTTTGGATGCAGGCTAACAGTCCCATCTCTGTGTCCTTTCTAGGGAGGCAGTTTCCCAAATTTCCTTATGATGACAGAAACATTTACCCTGTCTACTTTATGCTTGAAAACTGCCCTTTCCAACTAAATATCCTAGTATTTCTTTATATTTAAAATACATTTATTTTTGCCCATCCTTAGTGGATTTCAAACTAATAAGTGATGAAGTTATCCCACCTTAAAGTTCAAGGACTCTTCAACCCCCAAAAATAAACAGCTGCAGGGGATGGGCCTTCATTCATCACCTGTTGGACAAAATAAAAAGAAACCAGAGCTTGAACGTGAATTCTGTAGTTGGTTTAGGTTCACCATGCAGTTTTTAAAGACAATGCTGCAACTGGTTTCCTAAAACTGGTGAGAAAATAAGAGCTAAAAATCCTGCTAGAATACCTGGGTTTTGGTATTTCTGTTTCCCTGTGTCTTACTTTGCAGTTTAGAATGGAATTGGCTCAGGAACCTCTCGCTGATCCCATCCTCAGCTCCTACTAGTTCTGTCCCTGTAATTTGACCCAAACAAACAACTGGTGGATCATCTGGCAGTTTAGCAGTATTCCGCCACAAGTCATCGTACTTCTAGCTACGGGGAAATGCTCTTTCTCTCTTGTAAACTCTTGAGATGCCTTCTCTTCCTCCTACACTCACAATGGCAATTTCAAGTTGCTTTTTTTATCAAAAAAAAAAAAAAAAGAAAAGACCACCATTCCATTGTTGTTCTCTCCAGCTGTGAGATCGTCGATGCCAGACTTCTATCAGAAGATGAAGAACACCCTGCGCACAGAGGCCCAGGGAGCCGATACTGTGGTATGGTTAGCAGTATCCTCTGAAGCGACAAAGTTACCGAGCGGCTTGTTCTTCCAAGGTAAGGCGGCAGCGTCTTACACTGCGTAGCAGCAGAGATCCCTGAGCTGCCTGAACTGTAGGATCCCCATCTGGCCTGGAAGGGCATGAAGGCTTGACCAGGCAACCTTGTTCAAAGGAGGAAGTATTTCTCAAAATCAGTCCAAGACTAAAGGTTCAAGTGAGCATTGTGCAACCAGAGAACGACTGTGTTCAGTTTTGTTCCTGCTTTTGTTCTCTAAAGTAGCTGACAGAGACATCAAAATATTTCTTTAGGGAGGGCTGATTTTTATTTTTTTTAATGAAAATGGCTGTGTGCAGGACTGTGCCAAGGGAAGGTGAATCACAGCAGTCAAACAGCATCGTTTATGATGCTGGGAAACTAGCACCCTTCTCACAGCACGCTGGGGGTTGGCTTTGCTTTGACAGGCTCTTCTTCCTACCATTCCATGCTAGTTCAAACTGCCAGTTCCCCTTTTCTCTAACCCTGGGCAGAGACTTGAGCACGGTGGCATTTTTGGCACTGTAAGCATTGGGAAAGGAAAAATAGAGCAGAGCCTTTCTTTTCTCCCAGGCCAATGAGAGGCATTTGTAGGAGCAGCTGGAAGCATAGATGTCTCAGTGGTAATGCAGGTCAGTCCAGAAGGAGAAAGGCAAAGCTCAGGGTAATTCCTTTCAGAAGCCCAGTACTTTTGGATGTGGCACTCAAATCCTGATTCACTGAATTTCTAGGCAGAGCATGCAGGAAGTGCCGACTTTTCCGCAGTTGGGTTGACTTTGTCCCCTTCTGTCCCCTTCTGTCCCCTCCCGCACGGGGTTGGCTGACAGGTCTTTAACCAGACCTTTTTCATGTCATCTTGTGGCGCATGGAGAAACCCCACATCCCAGCTGGTCAGTCTTTGTACAACCAGGCTTTCCCTTTTTTGTGCTCCTACTGCTTTCTCCTGATCCTAGTGCTTCTGCTCAGTTGTTCTTTCTCTAGATTGTGATTGCACCAGGCTTTTGCCTTTGGCCTTTGTCTGCCCCCAGCTTTAGTAAACAGGGAACACGCCTTGGTTCTTTAGCTGTAGCTTGTGACTGTTGAGAGCTTTAGTCTTGGCGTGACCACTCTTAAGGCTGCAACAGAAGTCCTGTGTCTGTGTCCCGTGCTTAGCAAATAGTGACGAAGTCAGTTATTTCACTCTCCTACTGCCCTTTGGAAGCCACAGCTTAGTATGGGCCCTCTTCAGGCTCTTCCGGTAAAGGGCTTTGTGTGCAGGAGAACTTTACCACAGACCCTGCTTTTCTGGTCCTAGACAGCCATTTCCTGAAGCAGTCACGCCTTCCTTCCATTTCCTCCGTTCTCTTTTATTCTATTCCCTTTGAGTGCAAACCAAAGCCAGCTTTCTTTTTTTTTCCTGAGGAAAAAAAAAGGGAAGTGAGGACATGACTTGTACAGACAGAATTCTGTGCATCCACCAAAATAAATAAAAAATGTTTGACAGAGTCCTGCTTTCCAAAGACTAGAAGCATCTTCTCCGTGATGCTGAACTTGGCTTTCACACATAGTTCCCAAACTTTAGCGCAGGCTGCTGGAAGCGCTGTGATTAGGTAGGAAGCAGTTCATATTCAGTGATGGAGGAGGGAATGTTCCTCTGCCCGTGTCTCTCTCCTCAGTTTTCCATGAGCAGAGGTTATGTGGCATGTGCAGCCAGTTACAACATTTGCTCTTAAGGGAGCAAATGTCTCTGCTCCCTTAGGAAGCCTGATGGCAGCCTGATAGGTTTGCAGAGAAACCTCCTGCCCAGTGTTGAAACAGATTGTTCATTTAGTCTCAGCTGGCTACTGTGAAAATTGGACTACTAAATAGGCTGACAGTGCTGCACCAGCGCTCTGGTGGTTGCTTCATAGACATCTGAGAGCATTGTCATGAGGTTCCCAGGCTCTAGATACCATGTTCTGGGAGAGAAAAATCCCTTAGAATGGGTGGTGATACAGCTGTATTTACAGAGAGTGAGTGAGAAGTACGAGATTTGGAAAACCAAGCAAAGCATCAAATTGAGCAAATTTGGTCAGACATCTTTATGTTGGATACATGTTACTTATGGCGGTTGAGCAATTAGCCTAAGTGCTTTAGCATTTAGAGTTTAACCATTATTTTTCAGGATGAAAGTAAGCATTTTAAGATTGAAAATAATCCAAACTACGAAGTCCCAGCTGGGGAATTTGTGTAGCACTAGAAACATGATCCAGAAGGCAAGGAAAAAGCCCTGTCTCACGCTGCAAAAGCAACCTCTGCCTGCAACAACAACCCCTAGTTACTGGTCTTTGCCTGCAGGAGTTGCATTAGTGACAGGGAGCAGGCGGAACCCCACAGTAAAGCCTTCCTTTATCTAGACTGTCCCTAGCTGCAAATGAGGTCTTGCTCCCCAACCTAAGTCCTGTCGTGCTAAAGGACAATCACTCTTGTTCCAGAATACAAATGAAATCAGTTTAATTTCTGGTTTGGAAGATACGCTTAATTAACATTGTTTAGAGATACCTAGAGGGAAGCTTTCCTGGCTTCAAGACCATGAGGTGTGTTTGGGCAGTATAGAGCCTGGCAGAAAAATCTCCTTTGTGCTAGAAGAGGTAGTTAAATGTACCCATAAGGGTTATTTTGTTGTTGTTGTTGTTGTCTTCCAGACAGGCAACCTGTCCCTGCACACCTACCCCTGGCAAGCACCCACAGTTCACCGGAGGATGAGGAGAAGCTAATGGAGGTGCTGGAAGAGTTCTCCCAGAAGTTTAAATCCACTTCTCCAGGAACTTAGTGTCACTGCTGCCACAGCATAGCCACAAAGCTTCTAATTACCCAGTCAGAGAACTGCAGTGCGCCTGCTGTTGAGGGGAAGTAGGATGCCATAGGCCTGTTAAAAATAAATTGTGTTCAGGTGTTCTCACCACGGGGGAGAGCGGTGCCTGCAACATCTTTTTTTCTGCTGCCGAGAGTCTCTCCCATTGTGAATATGCACCTGCTGTCTCAAGATACAGCAAGGTTGTGTTCTTTGAATTGGAAGAAGAACTGGGAGGCATTAAAATAAAACCCAAGGCTTTGTGAAATTACCAAAAATCATTTAAAACACTCAACAGAGGGAAATGCGGAGGAGCGTGCCTTCAGTAGCCCTCGTGAAAGACTTCAGGAAAGAAGTAGTAAATGCTTTAAACAACGTTTGACCACTGCATTTGTCAGGTTGGTGGCCTCCTTCATGGCGTGAGGGTGACTGGGCTCAAAGCTGTAACTGGGAATGCAGAAACTCTCTCTTGCATTGCCTGCTTAGTTTAAATGGAAGGATTCCTCACGGCCTTCAGTTTCTGTAAATCAGTGCTGGTGTGCAAAGTGATCTGCTTCCTCGTGTTTAAACAGCAAGAATTTAGGAACGCTGCCAAATGCCTTCCACATTGCTTCATGGAGCCGGGGCTGCATATTAGCGCGTTTCTGTCAAGACACCATGAAGTAGGAGGTTTCACCACACACACCCCCCCCACACCCAGACATGGCTGGATCCAGCGCAGAAAGGGCTGCGTGGCTCCAGGCATGAAAAGAAATAACATGCTAAGCCGTTCGTGCTCACCGTTTCTGTGAAACATCAAAAGGAATTGCTTTAGCAACATGAATGGATTAAGAGGGGGAAGGGAACACTGGAGGGCGCGGGGTTTAGAGGAGAAGTCCACCTCCTGATGAGAGGGTTGCATTTTGCCTGGAACTGTTTTATTTACAGACACAGAGGATGGGATTTGTCTTACTTGACCTGTGGACATTTGAGTTATTCTCACTGTAAATCAGTAGAGAGGAAACAGGCTTTTTCACAGTGATTTACTGGATCTAGTTTAAGAAACGACACCTACAGTCCTATGTCTTTCTGCTGCTGGTGAAGACAATCAGCTCAGACGAAGACATTCAGGTGGGATTCATTTTGTCTTACATATTTCAGATATACTGCAAAGCCAAGACTATTAATAACGATAGCAGTAACACGTTTTCTTCCGAGCTGAGTGCTTGATGGCAAACTGCGGGCAGAACCCGACCAGTTGCACTCCTGTTTTACACACGTCTGCAGAGCAGTGGGGTGGGACAAAAGGCTGCTGGTGGGCAGAGGGGAACTCGTTAGGTCTGCTTTACGTAATGCAGTTTCCCCAGAGAGATCCTACTGGCTGATGGCATTTGCTCATCATTCAAAGACATCCTAGTAAGTATCACTTTAGAAAAGAAACTTCTCTTTTCAGGCTATTGTCAGTCTCCTTGGAAATGAAGGCTTTACTGTCAGAGAGGCCCTGAAATAAGTTTTCCCATGATAAGCAGTGCTGAGACAAATTGGGCTGTCACAGCTCTTCCTGAAGAGGCTGCAGCAGCATTCAAACTCTTGCTTCATTTTAGAAACTGAACTCCTCCTTGCACTACAGTGAAAGAAAACAACAGCAAGGCTTGTACAGATGTTTATTTCCTATAAGTCTGGCATTAACATTTTATATAGTTCAAACTGTTAAATACAGTCACTGAAAACAAGAGCATGGCTGGAAGTACATTTAGTAACTACATTTTTCAATCCAGTAGCTGCAAGGCTAATAAAAACATTTGCATACTTAGTATTTAAGTCAAGTTGCTTCTGAGCTCTGCAGTATAGAAGAAGAGTTTAATGACTGATATTTAAATAGTTCATAAAAATAACCAAAAGTGTACAATATATATATAAAAAACATAGTTTAGTCTACATTCTGTACTGATGTCTTTGAATAGCCTATATTTTTCCTTTTAGACAAAGCTTAAAAATGAAGCCAAAGGCATGAAAACTGCTTTAATCAAAGTTTGGTCACAGTGTAAAAGAGCCAGATGCTGTGGTTTAAGAGCACTTGTGATTTAAAAAGAATTAAAACGCGGGATAGCAATTAAGAAACAAAACCACGCTTTGGTATTACGATTCCAGCGACGCTTTATTTCAGCCCTTTTCCCCAAGAGCAAACACGACATGTGGCTGTAAAGCCAGCAAGATGCTTCGTGTTAATGCAATTCAGAGTGACTCGTACCTGCGAATACGTTTAGTGCCACCTATAAAATTTTAGAGGCCAGAGAAAAACAGCAGCCAGTGACAGGTTACCAGAAACAGGAGGTGACACAAACTCTGGCGAAGCGTTGCTCGCCGAGGGCTTCGTGCCCACCTGGGGTGCAGGAGCCGGACGATGAGTGCAGCAGCTGTCCTGGTGGGTGGCTCTGCCCTGTCCACGCTCAGCCCAGCGCTTCTCGCGTCGGCTTTCAGGCCTACGTGGCTGTGACCTCAGCTGGTTAATTATTCACGTTCTGAAGGCTTCTGCATTTTTCTTCATTTCATGGAGTCACCTAGTCGGAAGGGTTTTGCTTTGCGGGATTTTGCACAGGGAGGAGCGTAGCACCAGGCACCACGTGTAGAGTCATTTCCCCGTGTCCTAGTGGAAAGGCCCATCAGCAGCGCAGCAGGACTGACTGCGGTGACGTGGGGGCCGCTGACACGTTTCTCTGTCTTGGGTGGAAATTTTAGGAGGTCCGTGTAACATATCAGACAATTCTGTAAACTGCATTTCCTCTTCTCTCAAGTTTCATTTCTGGGCCATGTTTATTCTTTTTAAAAAAAAAAAAAATAAAAATAAAACAACCTTGATTAAAGGTACAAATGATCATTTGTCACATGCCTGGGAACAGCAGGGCATGCCCGTGTGTACCTCACTGTTTTGGTGTGAACTTTAAACGCCGTTTGCATTTGCACCAACAACACGGCCGCCAGCTGCTGTGCTGTCCCAACTCCCCACGCTACACTGTTCCGCTCGCTGGGAACAAGAGGCAAGCAGGGACATCCTGTCCCCTTAGGCAGGACTCAGGTGGGGTGTCGAACATGCCCTGCCTGGGCTCAAAGAGGGGAGTTGTGCTATAGCCTTCGATGTAGACAGGCTTAAGTCAGTGCTGAAGAACAGTTATTTGGTGGGGGTCAGCCCTGGGCCAGGCGTTTCAATTTTCAGTTCAATCACTCTATTTTTTAAGAGCATTTTTTAAAGCCGTAGCAGTAGGAGCAGCGCTAGTTTTTCATTAGCTGATGTTTAACTTGGTGCTTGGAGACCGAACGTGGAGTTACTCTCTCAGAGAACAACGTGGTGGTCATTGACTCCAGTGGTGAAGGGCAGCTATAAACCAGTTTAATCCCTAAGTTCCCTTTGCCTGTGCCCTTCTTCTGTTCCCTGTGTGTGTTGTCTCACACTCTCTGCAAAAATAAAGTGCCCCTTCTCATGACACCAGATCCTGCTTATCTAAAATTAGTGCTGGTCAACATCCACCCACTGTGTTTTTAAATGTGCTGTTATCACCCTGACTGGCAGCGGGAAGCTTCAGAGCTCTCCTGGCTCAGCTCAGAGTATTTCCCCGTTTGCCCATCAGGCTTACACCTCTTCGTTTGGTGGGAGAGGAGGTTCTGGGTGCATTTGGGCAGACCCAGTGACGTGATTACAGGAGCTGATTTTGAAATGCAAATAAGATGACTTGAAAATTCTGTATTCCTGAGGTAAGTCATCCTAACAGCACTCATCTAGGCAATGAGAGAAAGAAGGCATTGAAAAGGCGAGGAGTCTAACGGGGAGCAAGAGGAACAAAAACACTTCTGGGACTAAATGCGACCAAATCCAAGAACTTCCAATTTGTGAAGTAGGTCAGTATTTATGTTCTTCTCTCTAGAGGGAGCCATCAGATAAATGCGAGGAAAAATGATGTAGCCTTGTGAAGGAAACTTGTTCTCTCTCAAGACAAAAGCTAACGCACAGCCTTTCAAAAAGCCACCGTGTCAGCCTGGCTGCAGGCCCTCAGCAGGCCAGGTTTTCAGCCTGCCGTCGTGAGAAACAACTCAAACCTTTGCTGTACCAGCAGGGGCAGTGGTATTTCAGAGACAAAAACATGGTCGGAACCGAGGAAGAGGGGAAAAACCTGCACTGGTGCAAACTTCAGTGAGCTCCCAGAAAGTGGCATTTTCCTTGGTGGTTAAAAATCTTCTTGGGCCCCTTTCCAGCTGAGAACCCCCACTCCACAGGGAGCCTCGGGGCGAGGCAGAAAACGGCGCAATTCCTTCACTGCCCAAACGCCCTCCTTCCCTTGGCTGCTGACCCACTGCCGGGCGGCCGTGAGAATTTGCCATGGCAAAGGAATGACCCCGCGTGCCCGTACAACCCTTGTCAGTTTTGTGCCAACTCACAGAACGGGTAGGTGAACGGGTCCCGTCAAAACTCGATAACCCAAATTCCTCGTTACAAACCAACACACGCGTAGAGAAAGAAAAATAATAGCCAGAAGCTGACAGAAATTAATTTAGTGAGGTTAAACTAGCACAATTTATTCAGTTGCATTGAAGACACTTATTTACACAATGGAACGGAACTAGAAAGTGTTAAAATATAGTTAGCAGAAAAGATGGTCAAATTGCTGAGCAGTTTTCCTAGAAAACACTGACCCAAACAAAAGCCAGGAAGATTTTTTTAATGTAAAATCCCTCTGTTCTGAAAGACAACAAAGCCCACAAGACACCAGTCAGCGTGGTGAAGTTAACTTACCAAGCAGTGTCAGAAGTAACGTTCACCCTTTGGAAAACTAAACCACCCCTGAAACTAGTGGTAACAACAAAATTAAGTTTCTGTAATTAATTTTTCCCTGAAACTTCCTTGATTGCTTTGTGGTGGCAAAAGTTCCCTCTCCCACTGAATTTTCTTGGGAGAGGACAAGGTAGAGGTGTTAATAACAGGTCTTTCACATCTGAGAGAAGCCCTG